AAATTTTATTCTCCTTTGTCACATTTGCCTTATTATGAGAGCTGTTTCCTAAATTAATAACAATCTATGGTGTCCTGAGCCTCAGCTAGCACCTAACGTGTTCGCTAATCTCAGGAACAATCATGGTCTGAACAAATAATAGTTTGGGTTCCTGCCTCCCTTATCTCCCCTCGTTGCATTGTCCAGCTCTCCTGCTTTGTGTGTACCCAGCAACCTCACTCCTTTCAGCCTCCTGATGTGATTAACTGTGGCATCTTTAATAAAACCTGCAGCAATATTTCCATTGTAAAGCAGGGCAAAGATTTCATTTTTCTTCCTCTTCTCCTTTACTTTGCCAAATTCCATTTTTATTTCATTGTATAATTAATCAGCCACTGGAGCACGTGACAGCTTGTCTTATATTTAGTTCTCACTTCTCGTGCGCAGCCTCATTGGACACAGCTGGTTGGTCAAACACAGAGTTGGATTTGTCTGAAAAAACAACACGTGAATTGCCAGACTGGGTTGGATCTTTCCTCCACCAAGCCTAATGGCTTGTTCCAGCAGCAAATAGCATTTTGGTATTATAGCATCTACCAGTCATCCACCCATCCATCCATCCAATTTCATTCATCCATCTTCCTGCTAAATGTCAAACTACACAAGCTGGTTATTGGGAACATCTCCCAGCACAGGACAGGGCTTGGACACGCCATGCCAACACCTGTATGTATAAAGGATTGATGTGGCACCGAGGGATACGGGTTAGGGGGCATGGTGGTGATGGGTAAACTGATTCAATGATCTTAGTGGTCTTTTCCAACCTTAATGACTCTAGGATTCTGTTTCTACTGTCCATGTTAGGTCATTGGCCATGATGGCCTAGAGGAGTTGGCAGGTGAAGAGTCTGGGGAGTTGGGTGTTTGATAGGAAGGGGGATGAGGGAAGGAGCATGAGGGTGAAATCCTTGTCTGTGGAGCCATTTAGAAAGAGTTCCTATCTAAATAGTAGCTATATCTATATACATTTAATAAACAGAGGGAGATACAGAGAGTGAAAAAGAGAGAGGGAGAAGATACAGAAAGCACACATATAATATTTACATGTAACTACCCAAATTCCCAAATGCAAGGAGGCCTTATTAAATCAAAAGTGAAGAGTTAGCTTCTGGAAAATACAATGAAACAAATCAAATTGTCAGAAGTGTGAGATTCCCCTCGGCAGGAGCAGGCTGGGAAAAGCTTCCACTGGCATCTAGTGGCATGTTGCAGAGGCAGTCACTGCAGCCAACTGTACAGCTTCACCTCCAAAATGGGTCACTGTGGAGTAGCAGAGATTTCATTCACACTAAGAGGTCACCACTTCCAAACTGGGAGTATAAAGAGGCATTTTTGGATCCTAAACATGCCCCAGTGACTTCAGCCATGAAGCACTTTTAGGAATGAATATGAGGGTCCCTGAGTCCATTTTTGATAGCACAAAAGCTAGGGCACGCCAGGGTGAGGTTGTTGGTGGAGCTGATGATTGGCACCATCCAGAGAGTGCAAGGTGAGGTTAGGGTGAATGTATTGTGATAATGGGAAGGATGGGAAAAGGGGAATGTTGCCAAAGCAGTCCTGCATGTGAGGGATCTTGCTGCAACACACCTGTGGCTTTCCATCATGGTCTGTCCTGCTTAGGACTTGCTGTGGTACAACCTCATGCATCAAAACAGAAGACTTGAGTAAGGCAAGCTTGATGTTGGTGGTTTGTGGTGGGGTAGAAAACACATGAGCAGACTTTAACCAAGACACAGACAAGGTATAGACAGCTTCTGAACTCCAGGGGCCTTGCAACACAAAAGTGTGTGAGCTGAGCAGGCATCTCACCCTCCCCTGCCTCAGTTTCCCAAAATCAAAGAGCAGGAGAATAGGATGTTTGCAGCCTTGTGCCACCCTTAAGACAGAGCTTCCTGCTGAGTCTCGAAACCTCTCTACCAGGAAGATCCAGGAGGGTCTGAGTGATTTCTCTGAGGTCTTGCTGAGCCTCAGCCTCACCCAAGTGGTGCTCATCACTCTGCTAAATCATAGAATCATTTAGGTCCTAGTTCAAATGTCAGGGCAAGAGAAGCACTTGCTAATTCCCAACTGCTGTTGACATCTATCCATTTAAAATATGCAGATCTAAGATGAACATCATTACTTTTTAATAATTACTGCTATAATTAAAGATATTTTTGTGCGACTCAATGTTGCATTAAAAAATGTCCTGAGGCAGATTCCTTCTTTGATATTATTATATTTTGTTTAGCTGTTGTGTTAGATCACTCCTAAGTTTCAGGGAGATTCCAAACAACCCACCAAAATATTGATTTGTTATCAGGTTAAGTATTATAGAATCATAGAATCATAGAATTGTCGAGGTTGGAAAACACCTTCAAGAACATTTATTCCAACTGTCGACCCACCACCACCATTATTGCAAACTTATATCTAGAAGTTAAGAATATATTGCTCACAGGAGCCTGTCTGGTGACATTGCAGTGATTTCTCTGTCACTGCACTGCCTCAGCGTTCACCTTGCACCACCTGCACAATCTTTGTGCCTTCATTGAGCAACACAAGGGCTGCTGTGCTGCTTGCAAGGCACGAGCCTTTCTGCTTCCATTCTGGGGGCTGCCAGCTGCTGCGGACAGAGAACCACTGGATAAATACATCCTCCCTCATACAAAGCAAATGCTTTCATTCCAAAGCATCCGCATCCTGACCGCAAAAGGGCAACAACTACAGTCCCCAAGAACTACAATCCCCAAGAACTACAATCCCCAAGAACTACAATCCCCAGCAGGCAGCGCGGAGCTCCAGCCCTCAGCTTTCCTCCTTCCCCCCCAGTGCTGCAGCCAGCAGTGAGACTCACGCTTGGGAATCCCACCCATTGGCACCCCATCCCCTCGGCTCTTTGCTCTCTGCCTTTGTTCAATTCACCCTTCCTCCGGCAGCTCTCGCTGCTCTGCCTGCAGACTTCCTTTCTGTCGTTCGGGCTGCGGATGCGGGGAGGCAGCAGCACGCTGTGCCTTGGTTGCCCCCAGGCAGAGGGATGATGCCAGCCCCAGACTGACAGCTCATCCAGGTAAGGTGCTTTTCTGACAGCCCCATCTCCATGTGTCCGGGTAGGCTGAGGAAAAGGCAAATTGGCTCTCGCTGGGATGCTGTCCTTGGTTGCTGAGCTGGAAGGAAAGGCGGGCTTTGGATTGGTAGGAATCTGGATGCTTGGAAATAAAGAGAAAGAAAGAAAGCAGACAGGGATTTTTACTTTAACACCAGTCGGAATGTGTTGCTTTTTGCCAAAATCCAGGGGTAACAAAACCCAGCGAAGTGCTGCTGCAGATTTCCTAACCATTGGTGGTCAGGGGCTGACTCTGCTGCCTGCCCAGGGGGTGGATGGCCTTTCTGGGTAACAGCGTGCTTTGGAACTTTTCTGAGCCCTCTTAGCAGCCTGGCCAATGCTGAGGCTTTGTCTGCTGGATTAAAATTTGTTGTAGGGTCAGATATCAGCTCCCCACCCAGGAGGGTTCTGGTTCCTTGGGAGCTTCCACCCCCCACTGTCAATCTCTGCCTGTGTCCTGCTCCAAGTCTGTATGTTTTGTCTCTTCTCACCCTAGAAAAGCTTGTAGGTTGTTGCTTTTTACATATATTTTACTTTTTCCACCAGTTCTTCTGTCCCAGTCTGTCTAGTTCTGCCTGGACAGGAGCATCATTGTGCTTCAGAGGTGGATCTCCAGACATCAGTGGGGATCCTGGGTTTGCTGAAGGGGACTACATTTGAAATAACTTTTCTCATTATAACTGCCCTCTGAAATAGCTGTCCCTCTTCATTTACCTCTCTGAGCCTTTCCTTTGAGGAGCACGCAGTTACAATCTCCTCACCACCATTGTGTTGGGATGTCCGTGCGCCCAATCTCCCATTGAATCTCCTGATCCATGGCACATCCCTGCATCCCTCGTGCCTTGGTGGCCATCTCCCCAGGGACTCATCTTCCCAGTCACACCCTCCCAGAGCTCCAGGGGAGGTCCCACTGGCAACCCATGTCCATGTTGGCAGCCACCCCATAACTGGTAGGTTTGGCAGCAGCACCTCCAGTGTAAGCTTGGCCAGCCATATGGCTTTGTTGGCAGTCACCTCCAGCAATAATGTTCCTCCCCTACGTCTTTCTTGATCTTTTCCCAGCTGGAATTCACAGTCTTGAGAGGAGATGCTGCTCACATCTGTTGGCCCTTCCTTTTGTCTAATGGCAGCACATAGGAGCCAGATCCTGCAGCATACTGACCCTTCTCTGAAAGGGACAAAGTCACTTCAGCTTTCTGCATCCCACTTCTCCAGATGTACACTGACCCCACTTCCCCTGTGCATGGAGGTCTGCTAGCACAAAGCAGCAAAGTTTGTTCTGCAAGCAGTGCCAAGTTTTGTTTTCTTAGGGGCTTGGGGGAGAAATTGCAACAATTGCATTGCAATAATGCAAACTGCATTACATTATTAATGCATTTATTTCTAAATCTTGATAAAAGAATGGAGAACTATTCTGAGAGTAAGACACTGGTGCAGCAATAGAGCTGAAATCTCAGCATCATTCTAGCAGTGAGTGCATAAATCCTTGCATTGCCAGGGGAAATCAGCTTGTTCCTGATCTCTTTGTTGGAATCTTGTGGCTTCAAATGTCCTGAGTTCTGTCTCCCATGGAGCAGCTGAGGTGTGACCCGTTGTGTTTATGTACTGAACAAAGCTGGTGGAGAAGAAATAATGCCTTAATTTTCCCTTTATTTTTTCAGTCTGGCAATCTCTGGGAAAGCGAAGAAGCTCCCGCAAGAGATCAGAGAGGGCAGGAGATGAAGTTACAAACATTGCTTCTGCAGCTGAGCCAAAGGAGGCTGAGAAATGAGGAAGATCACACACACCTCATCAGCCTTTCCCTTATGGGGAACAAAGCACGTCCATCAAAGTACACCTCAATGTGTACTTCCTGATGGCTTTTGTATCCTCCCTGACATCGTGGCCTTTTGGCAGCCCCATCACTTGGAGCACCGTTGCCATGAAGGCCGTGGTGAAGCACGTGGTGAAGGCACACCTGTGCCAGGAGTGCGGCAAGTCCTTCAGCAAGAAGGGCAACCTGAAGAGACACCAGCGCGTCCACACGGTGGAGGAGCTCTTTGCTTGCAGGGAGTGTGGCCGGCATTTCACCACCAGGGGCCACCTGAGGACCCACCAGAGCATCCACACCGGGGAGAGGTCCTTCTGCTGCGGGGAATGCGGGCGTTCCTTCCGCCTGGAGATATGCCTGGCGGCCCACAGGAAGACACACACCAAGGGTGGGCCCTACTTCTGTGCCCGCTGCGGCAAGAGGCTGAGCACAAAGATCTACTTCAACATCCACATGCGGACGCACACGGAGAAGAGGCCGTTCGCCTGCAGCGAATGCGGGAAGAGCTTTGTGAAGAAGGGAACGCTCACGGCCCACAAGGAGATCCATAAGAGGGAGAAGCCCTTCCAGTGCCCCGAGTGCAGCAGGTGCTTTGGGCAGAGTGCCACGCTGTTGGCCCACCAGAAGATCCACCTTCGTGGAGGGCCTTTCATTTGCACCGAGTGTGGGAAGAGCTTGAGCACCAAGCGGTGTTTCAACGTCCACCAGAGGAACCATGCTAAGGAAAAGCCACTCAAGGGACACATTGAAGATGTGCCTCTCCAGGTCATACAGATTAAAGAGGAAACTGCCTTTAAGTCAGAAGAGAATGTGTTGGAGTGTGTGTTTAATGAAGGACCTAAAATTCCATGTGATCCAAAAAGCCCTCATGGGAAAATCCAAACGAAAGAGGAACCAGGACCACTCGCCTGCGACACAGAAAACATCACTGCAATAGCCTGCCAGAAACTTCACATCAAGGAAGAACCACAAGAAAACCCGGACTGTGGAAAGCTCTTTGATCCAGAGCTCTCATTGATGGTTTTACAGGGAAGACAGGTTAAAAAGGAAAGGGATTCTGACGGGCACCATGACCAAAAAGGTCCCGTAGCTGGTAACAGGGTGCTCCACATGAAGGAAGAACCACAGAAAAGCACTGACAGTGAGATCCACTGTGGTCAGAAGCCAAACCCAAGTGCCACCCAAAGGATCCAGATTGAAGAGCGAACTGGAGTAGAGGATGACCACCAAGAGAGACAGAGCCCACGGAGGAAGCAGAAGAAATGCGTCCCCACCAAAGAGGGGACGCCAGAGAAATCCACATCCAAGAAAGAACCCTCAACAAAACAAGCTTCCAAAGGTGAACGGATATTCCCCTGTCCTGAGTGTGGCAAGAGTTTCAATCAGAAATCAAACCTGACCAGACACCAGAAGATCCACACGAGCGAGGGGCCGTACAAGTGCAGCGAGTGCGGGGAGAGCTTCCGCATGAGCCGCAAACTGGTCCGGCACCAGCGAGCCCACATGAGAGAGCCTTTCAAATGCACCGAGTGTGGGAAGAGCTTCACCCAGCGCTCCAACCTGGTTCGGCATCAGAGGATTCACACCAAGGAGGAGCCCTACCAGTGCCCTGAGTGCGAGAAGACCTTCAACCAGAAGGCCAATCTCTTCCGACATCAAACGATCCACGTCCGCATGGGGCCTTGCAAATGCACCAAGTGTGGGAAATGCTTCCTCCAGAAGCGTCACCTCATTAAACATCAGCTGCTCCACTCCCGAGGTGGGGCCTACAAGTGTGGGGTCTGCGGGAAGCGCTACCGGCTGAAGAAGTATCTGAGGAGGCACCAGAAAATCCACGCGCGGGAAGGAGCTGGCTCCAACGTGAAATGTGGGGAGGACACAAGGCCTGGTGGTGGGTCTCACCCCACTGAGCAAATGACCCTGCGATGAGTGAAGAGGAGAGCTGAGAGGATCTGGTTCCCATTCCTGAAGGGAAAATCTTTGAGAAACAGGGATGGAAGCAAACTGATGTTTGTGGGGTGGGTGAGGTTGGAGGGGGCAAAGCATGGATAGAAACTGGTCCCATCCTGCTGCTTTGTGAGTCAACCTTCAGCTTACATCTGTGCTTACAGCTATGGGATGGAGCTGGAGAACACAACTCTTCAGAGCACTCAGAGGTGAAGGGATGAGCCCCTGGCATCCTTGGTAATGGGATGCTTGTGCCTCTAAAGCCTGCCAAAACGGTGGAGGCCAACGATGTTTTGTGTGGGCAATGTGTGACCAGAATTGCTGGGAGGGATTTATTTCTGTTATATCACAGTGCTTCTTAGAGAAAGCTGCTTCTCATCTGCCTGCTTCCCTGATTGTCACTGTAAAGCTTATGGTAGGATGTTGACTTTTCAGGGCAGTATTTGGGGAGTTCAAACCGAGTAGCAGGAATAGTTGAACAGATCTTCAGACTTTATGGGCTAGAAAACTGGAAAATATTTTCCTGTTGGGATGCTTTCCCTACCTTTCCCTCATATAATGGGAACTGTGCAGCTACTCAAAAGTATGGACAGTTTTTATTGCTCACTGCCAATGATTTTTGTTGGAGGCTTTGAGCACCCTGACCTAGCTGTAGGTGTCCCTGTTCATTGCAGGGGAGTTGGACTAGATGACCTTTAAAGATCCCTTCCAATTCAGATAATTCTATGATTCCCTCACCAGAGTGTTCTTGGTGTCTGGAAAGTCCTTGATGAAGTGGAGAAGCAGAGTGAGCCCACAGTCCCACGAGCCGCTCCCCAAGATATCTTTGCAGCCCTGGTACCTGGCCACATGAGAGCTGGCAGATTGAAAACACTTATTAGGTTTGTTGTTTGCTGTAATAAGTAGAGTCCAAGGGAATACAAAAATGTTCCATGGTGAGGCAGTATCTCTGCCTCTGGTTTTGTGCAGGTAGAGAAGTCCATTACCCATTCCTAAGGTACAGACTTCCTCCTTCTCCCAAGGTGTATTGCACATGGCATCCTCTTGAAGGCACTGAAAACCATCAGCATAACTTTGGGAAACTACTTGCTGTGACACTTCAGACCCAAACTGTTCTTCGTCTGCACTGACTGTTCTGGAGCAACTGCCTCCAGGCAGGGAAATGGAGGCACAGATGTTGCAAAGTGAACAGGACAAATAATGTTTGAGCTTTGCCTTCCCCAACTGCTTGGACATCACTATGCTGTGGTGACTCAAGGCCAACACTGAGTACAGCTGCCAAATTCCAAAAGCACAGAGTAACTTTCATGTCATCATCAACTGTAGACAAGTTTTCCCTCAATTACTTCTGGCTTGGTGAAGGTTCGTTTCTGGGCAGAAAAGGCAGATATACCAGAGAAAATGATTTCGGGGTTCTTTAGGGGTATCTGAGGTCACCCTTGTTATGGCAATGGTTCTGGGCCTTCTGGTGGGTAGGTGGACCCTCCAGTGCAGGGCTGGGAAACTATGCTCCTCAGGAAGAATGTGGCTAAGCCAGCTAGAAAAGCAAAACTGCTTCTATTGGGCCTGCTGAGGGGCAGAGGGAGAGCAGAGCTCTTCAGTGAGTAATCACCAGATGAATTAATTTATTTCCTTTTTATTAGTCTAGCATGATGCTGTAAAGATTTTGCCAGCAAGAAGAAGTGGTGTGGGAGGTTTGCCAGTTGTATTGCTGAAACCTTTGACATGCAGAAAGAAGTGAGTCAGTGTCAGTAGCCTTCCTGGACATCCCTGGATCTTGCACCATTCACCATAGCCAGTGTTCCAACTTCTGGGGAAAATCAGGACTGATAGTTTGTATTATCTTCTCAATAAAGTAAGTAAGTAAAGAACCAAGGCAAACAAAACGAACCTGTTTTCTGTTTGTGGTTTTGATTTCATCAGCTATCATCGAGAGAACCACTATCCACAATGCAACAGGCAAAACTGCCAGGGCAAGAGATGGAAAAGTGATAGCCAGATGGAAATGGTTGATGAAGATGAATATGCTGACCATATTGACCATCCTTCCACCAACCAGCTGGGAGCTCAGACCCCCATGTGGAGATCTGGGCCTCCAGCCAGCGATCCAGACGTAGGTGTGGAACTGTGTGAAGTGCTCTAAGTTATCTGCACATTTTATGCCTTAAATATGGTTATCGTGATCCAAACTCCATCCTTAGTGTCCCACTTATGGATGCACAGTGCTGGAAGCAAAGACTTCCTTGGGTACCACCAGGATCTGCCCATCATAGGGACATGACATGAAAGATTCCCCAAAGGACCCTTTCAAAGAGATGGCTCACAGACAGTTTGGATTGCCAGGTCTACTGTCTGCTGCTAATTGTCATGTTAGGTGCTTGGGTCAGGACCTTGGAATAATTAAAGCTCTTTGAGGGAGAATGGATTTATCTGCGGATTGGACAATGCCAAATCCTTTCCCATCTAGGAAGCAAAATAACCTTCATCCTTTTCTCCTTGAACTCATTAAAAGAGATCATAATACTAAACTGCTTAAAATCATTGCCTCATTCTCCACTGCACAGATTTTATGCAGAAAACCACACATGCGAGTGCTTATCCACTGAGCAATCTCAGTCACCACGTGAACAGGATCCTCACAAGCTCTGATTTTGCCATCATGGCCAGGCTGAAGCTGGAAGAACGAGATCACAGTTGTGTTAATGGAGAGAGATCCAAGCTCTGATAAAAAGAACTATTCTGGTGTTGCACAGTGGGACAGGAAATCTTGTCTTGAGACACTTGCTACAATTTTTATATCCGTGTACATTTCTAATGTGGTTTTTAGGAGGAATTTCAGAACTTTTTGAACTTTGCAGTGACTCACTGACTATCTGTGTGTATCATCTCAGTATCTCCTTGACTCCAGCCTGCCTGGAAGAGAGATGGAGACAGACTGAGATGGAGAGCACTTCCATGAGAGTGTGTATTTCGTGCTTTGATGGGACGCATAGAGCCTATTGGTGCTCAGCATGTTGTGATGTGGTGGGAATGAGAGGGTCTTTGGCACCAGAGCAAACATCTGCTTGGATATAAGTATCCTGGGATGTTTACTTGTCTTTTGAGGACGTGACGGTTCCCGTGAGAACTTCCTCAAGAATCTCAGGCTGTAGGGAGCCTGGTGTCCCCACTAACAGGGATTGAGGAGAGGAAAAGGACCAGAGTGAAAACTAGGTGAGCAACAGGACATTCAGCATCACACGTTTCCACAAATCCCTGCTCTGTTCACAGAGCAAACAGGCTCCATGAGGACATGGTCAGTGGGCACGGTGGTGACGAGTTGATGGTTGGACTATATGATCTTAGTGGTCTTTTCCAACCTTAATGATCCTGTGATTCTATAATATTTACATCCCATCAGCAGCTTGGCCACCTATCATCCCATCCAGGTGCAGAGTGGTGCAGCCAGGTACTGCCATATGGGGCCATGTTATCAAACTGAACTGCCCATAGCCAGCGCCCATCTGGAGCCATGTACTCATCCATGTCTGCCTTAAATAAAAGGATCCTGAGATTTTTCTAATGTATGGGAGCTGCTGAGTCACGGCCTGAACCTCTGATTGATCACCTGAGGTGAGCCATGAGTCAGCCAGAGGAGCACAGGTGAAGGCAGTTCACCTGAAGCCTGGCTCCACCCCTCCTAGACCTATTTTAGAGCTGGCTACCAGTGGGGAAGGATCTCATCTGGAGATTCCTTCCTTCTGGTGCTTTGTAGTGAGCCCAGCATAAGGGTAAGCCTTCCATTTATTCTCTTTTGTTATGATAGTCCACTTGGCTTAACTCTCTTGTTTATTTTGTGATTGTAACATCTTGATATCCGTTGATTATACACCTAAGTACTTGAATTAAAAAGTATGGATGAATATGGGGAACAAGTGCTTCTGATGGACATAGCAACATGCATGTTCCTAAGAGTGCAACAGCAAGACTAGGCAGTGTGTAAGATCAAGCCTGTTGTATTCCCATGGTTGGTTGCAATCACAGTAGCCATTAGGAAAGAAAAAGGGAGTAAAACACTCTCTCCTTCAAAAGATATATAGATAGATATGTATGTAGATATATCACCATTTAAACTGACAAAACTTGCAAATGCTATGAAGCAGAGGCCAGGGCAAAGAGGATGACATGATGCCTTAGCTGATAGGTTCAGAATTGAACCCATGAGCTACAACAGTTCAGTCACTTCTTCCAAAAGAGCATCTCTGGAGAATTATTTTCTCCATCTTTGGCACCCTGTAAGTGCCAGAAGTAACAAAGTTCAGCATTTCAGCCCAATTTTAGGTATGAGGAAACCAAGGCAAAGCTTTGGATCCATGCAAAATCCCACCAGCAACCTACATCAGATGCACACCCACATCCTCTTCTGATTCCCTACCTCATGCTTTGAAATAGCTGTGGGATCACCTCATCTGAATAACGATGTCAGGAGACCTTGCTGTGTTGTTGCCCAAGTGGCATCAACAAGCACGCACTCAGCAGCAGAGAACATACAGAACATAAAGCATGCAGCCATCAGCATGTGTTGAACTCCTTTTTTACAGTACCATTATTTTAATAGCAATAATTTAAAAAAAAAAAAAAAAGCAACCTCGCTACATCTGGATGTGTAATTCAAAGAAGCCATGGGCAGTTCTCCAGCCCTGAGGGCACCAACCTGACTTGCATCCACTCAGCTGAATTTCATTCTCCCTGGAGGTGTCCAAGGCCAGATTGGATGGGGTCCTGGGCAGCCTGGTCTGGTATTAAAGGGGGAGGTTGGTAGTCCTGCCTGTGGCAGGGAGATTAGAGCTTCATGATCTTTGAGGTCCCTTCCAACCCTGGCCATTCTATGTTCTATGATTCATCCCTGGCCCCAGATCTGCTTGAGTGAAGAGTTTCAGGTATAAACATGAGTGTTGAGAAAGTTGTGCTCAGGTGCATAAGAATGTCACCAGCTGTTTTGAAGACATGGCTTAGGTTTTCTATCATCCTGAATTAGGGCACATCCAGCAGCCTCCAAAAGCTCCAAGGCCTGCAGTGTGACCCAGCCTGGCAGAAAACAGCTCCTACTGTGAGTTTTGCACCATCTTCACTGTTGGTCCTGCCCATAGCCTAATCCACTGGCATGATGTCTACAGGAGCTGGGGGCTTGCAATAAGACTTACAGCACATCAAGAAGACAATTTTCTTGGATTCATTGGGTGGAGATGGAGACCCCTCCATCATGTGTGGCAGAGGACAGAGAACTGGAGCTGGAGTAGTGCTCTGCTGCTTAATTCCTCAACAAATCACAGAGTCATAGAATGGTTGGGTTGGAAGGGATCTTAAAGCCCACTGAATCCCAACCCTGCCATGGACTGAGCATCTTTGCAGCTCTTTTCTTTGGTCAGTTTGCTAAGCAAAGCATGGGGAGGGGGATCAGCCCACTTGCTGCTGAGAGTGGTTTTGTGGGAGAAGAAAGGGTTTGCTCAGCGATCAGTCGGTGCCCAGCTGCTTCTGCATCCTGGAAGCAACTATAGAGCTTGTTGCAGAAACACAAAGTAGATGAGAGCAATACCCTCCACTCCTCCTTTCCTTCGTGCTTTTGGCTGCTGGATTCAGCTTGTGCCCTGCACGCCATCCCCAGCACAGCCCCTGTGGCTCTCTATCCTGCCCACCAACTTAGCGTCCTACCATTAATGTGGCAGAGTGCTGTGATGCTACGATGGCACAAGCTGAAAGAAGGTTCTGTGTGCTATTACCTTGCAGAAATTGGGCCAGCTGCCTGCAGGACCCACATGGTTGTTGGATGAGTATAATGGATAGCTGCACAGAATTAAGAACAGTTTTCATTTTGATCTTTTTTCGTGTATGTATGTGATTTTTTTTCTCTTCCCTAGTAGATCTGTTTGATTTTGAAGGTTTCTTGCAACATTTTAACTCCTTTAATCCTGCATTTCTGTTGCACTGGCAGTAAATTCATTATCCCTAAATACAAGGACTGATAACAGACCATGATCATAGCATGCTACACTAGCACATGAAAGGCAAGGAATTAAATCATTCACTGGAAAACAGACATAGTGGGAGACTGCTGTTTCCTGAAAGCTTTGTATCCTTTTAAGCTTGTTTTTCCTTTTGTTGCATTTGTTGGTGGTGGTGGTTTGTTTTTGTGCAAGATGTTCTTGCTTCAGAAACTTTTGCACAGCTCTGCCCTATTTCTGCAAGCTATGAGGCAGGGAGGTGGTGGCTGTGCTCAGCCCCAAAGCCTGGTTGTGTCCCTTATTTAGGGATTTTCTCTCTAGAATGAAGGAACAGCAAGAAAGAACTGACCTTTTTCTAACTCATGTCTTGCTAATAATCCCATTGCATATCAACAAAATTGGAGATGGAGATGGTCTGGAAGAGGCAATGTACATCCCAGGGCAGAACTGCCCTGGTGAGGTGACCGCTTTTCCAACTGGGGCTTTATGAGCAATGAGTAACAGACCGTGGCACTGGAACACAGCAGTTGAGCTGTGGCTCCAGGAGAGCTCATAGAATCAGGAAGGTTGGAAAAGACCACTGAGATCCCCCAGTCCCTGATGCCCAGCCACTCTTTCTGAGAAGAACTTGTTCCTAATGTCCAACCTAATATTCAAGTCTGGTTGTTGTGAGCGTAGATGAATTCTTAATCTCACCTGCAGATGTTCCCAGTATCAATTAAGACCACAGAACATACGGGAGCTGTATCTATTTTGAACTATTTATGTTATCTATTATCCCAGTGCTTGCAGGTGCTCTGCAGGCTGCAGGAGCTGCCTGTATATCCCCTGAATTCAGGTGTCTATAGCACACCTGAGATGGATGATCCAGGTTGTGTAAATCAGGTGGTTATGTAAATAAAATCAAAGGAGAGAAACAGGGATTTATCTGCACTATTTAGATGTCCACTCTAGGATGAGACTTTGTTCTTAAGTCTTACTAGGCAGAAGCTGTCTGTGTAGGAGGTGAAAGAACTAGGAGTGGTTGTGGATACTCACAGAAACATTATGTATGATCCAGTGTTATTTACTGTTCTGCACTAGGCTCCTTTTCAGAAAGCAAAATAACTACATTTTTGTAACTGTCCTTCCTTCTAAAACCACACACCAGCAGAGTTTTGCCATGTAGGATCCTCCAGCTATTAGTCACCTCATTCCCTTTGATTTTTTATTTTTTTTTCTGTATTCCCTCTGTATTTACAGACAATCTGCTCCTATTTTTCTAATAAAAACCAGGGTTAAACAAAGCCATGGCTCAGCTTTGTTCAACTCCATCTCAAATGGGGCGATTCAATGGAATGACCAAATGGGATGAAGAAATGGGTTAGTCCAATGGGATGACCCAATGGTTGGACAAATGGGATGAACAAACAGGGTAACCCAATGGGATGACCAAATAAGTGGGAGCCTGGGGCAGGAGTACCCCTGGGAGCAGGACACCAACAACCTCATCCCACAGTAGGTCCCTCAGTACAGACAGAGGTTTCTGTCCATGAAATGGTGACTGAACTGCCAGATCGTTCAGCCATCACTGCCATTAATCCCCATTTCTCTTTGCTCCTAAACCTGGTCCGGTCTCACTCCTTCCCTCCTACAGAAGGACGTTTGTTATTCAGAACAAAATATTATGTTGCTGTGTTATTTAATCATGTCAAAATTCATAGGCAGCATCTGTGCAGAAGATAAAATGTTTTGGGACAGTTTAGTCCTTTTCTTATCTGAGCGATTACGGTTATGTAAAGACTTCTTTCAAACAAGTAGATGGAATTTCATAAGCAAGAGACCAAAATAGTGCCAAGTAGCCAACCATCTCCCCTTGATCATGCTGGATTAGTACAATTAATCTGCAGGCATTAGTGGCCAGCAGGATTTTGCCTGAAGGATATCATATGTATTTATTATTTCATATCTGATTTCCCACATGAGGCAGAAGAATCAATTGCGGGTTTTTCTTTTCACCACTGTATTTTTACAGATGGGGCTGTGGGATTTGGAAAATTACTGAGGGGCTCCAGATGGCAGAGGGGGGACACGACTCCTGCTCATCTGTACATCGACTGAGGTGGAGGGGTCACAGTCCCCAGACATGTTCAAAGGACGTGGAGATGTGACACTTGGGGACACAGTGGGGGTGGGCCGTGTTGGACTTGAGGATCTTAAAGGTCTTTTCCAACCCTAATGATGCTGTGATCCTATGAAATTACAGCTTAAAGAGGAGCAGCTGGCTTTGTCAGAGCTCTGTCTCCTGCAGCTTCATGAAATGAATGAGCAGTGTTCTCCCACCCCCTAGCAAGGGAGATAGCTGCAGATTACAGCAGAAAGCAGAGCGTTACCTGATCGGCTCAGATAGGAACATGGAAATGAGGGCAGCAGAGCCATGCGGAGTTAGATTGAGATTCAGCAGTGCCCACTCATAAATACTTAACTCTGCCTATCTGGTGCAGGAGGTGAACCACAGGTCACAGCCAAGATAGGAATCAGAAAGGTTTAAGCTGAATTGGCAAAGTACATCTGTAGGATCTGTCTCTGTCAGGATGAGCCCTTCACCTGCAGCTTGCTTGAGCTGGAGGGGGATTTTTGCAAGGTGTGGGCTGCACTCCCCTCCCCA